TGGTCACATGGGCGGCAAGCCACTCCCACAAAGGAGGCCACACCCACAGAGGAGATTCGAACAATTTTTGAAACCCACCACTGGTACACATGTATGTTGTGGCTAATTCAATCATTTTTATGTCCTTTTTCAAAACAGTTCAGGAGGGTGGACTTGGCTGTTATTAAGTGTCCCAAAGAAATGTGTGGATAAGATCCAGCCCATGAAACAGTTTGCTTGTGCCAATGTTTCGGGGTATAATGAGGCAGGAGAAGTAGGTATGAGTGCAGACAGGAGATCAAGAACATATCCATTCTCCCTGCGAAGAATAAATTAAGCAGTTCTTTTTTCTCCCTGCTACCTGTCACTCTTTGCCATCTTCTCCCATTATTGGACTAATCATTTCTCTGAGTTTTTTTCTTGTTTTTTACATTGAAAGAAACTTTTTTAAAAAAAATATTTTTGATAATTGGGGCAAATCTAATTCATTCTGAGCCTTAACTTTTCTGACTTCATCTTTGTAGATTTGAACTATATGCTGATATTCTGTCTTAATTACAGGTGTCTCTTTTTCCTTTTTATACCTGTCTTTTTTCTTTTTTTTAGTTTATCAGAGAGTTTGTTATGTAACCATGCTGGTTTCTTCTGGGATGATTTTTTTTCCAGTGGTATTGTGCTAGACTGGGGTTTTATAATCTCATTTTTCAGAGTTTCCCAAGCCTCTTGAGTTGCTTTCCCCTTAAATATTTCCATTCATGGAATCCTGCCCAAGCTCTCACTAAGTTTGTGGAAATCTACTCTCTTAAAGCTTAAGATATGAGTTTGATTTTGTTCTATTGTGCCTGCATTTTGTTGAATTCCAATATCACATGGTCACTCTCTCCCAAAGTTCCCATAACTTCAATCCCTTCTATCATTTCATTTCTTTTAGTGAGAATTAAGTCCAGTACAACCAATCCTCTAGTCCCATTCTTTACTTTTTCGTAGACAAAATTCTCTAGTAGATTAATCAGGAATCAGTTTGATCTCCAACTACGTGTAAAGCTTTTCTCCCAGTTGATGTCAGAATTGTTAAAGTCCCCTATTGCTATTATAGGCTGCGTCCTGCACACCTCAGCTAATTGATTAGCAAAAGGTTCTTCTATTTCCTCTGGTGGAGTGGTCTGTAATATGACAGTGACACCTGTGGCAATGTCCTTCCCTTTTTCCTTTTATATTAACCCAAATTCACACTTAGCACCCTCTAGTGTTCATTTCTTCTCCATTTGTATATATTTTCCTTTAATACACCCTAGTAAATTATCACCCAAAGGACTGCACACTTTTTTCACTGCCTTTTCCTTTTATCAGGGACTTCATCCTATTTTCCAGAAACTCTTACAAAGCAGTGTCAAATTAATATTCTTTTCTCAGGCAAGAAATCAAGTAATCCTGCCTCTTTCCAGCATTTTTTGCTTTTCATGCCAAACACACAGGAAGAGTAAAGATGCAGAAGACGTTATCCTTTTATCATCAGTTATGAAAGACGTTTTTATTAGCGTTTCTCAACCTCAGCAACTTTAAGATGAGTGCATTTATATTCCCAACCCAGGCTGGGTAATTCTGGGAGTTAAAGTCCCACCTATTAAAGTTCTTGCAAAACCCTGTTTTATATTTAACACAAATGCAGAACAGATAGGTAGCCAAGAAAAAGAGACATTTCCCTCTTGGAGACTTTTCACATTAGGGATCCTTAGCAGAACCCCAATTCTTGCTATGTTGATGTAACATACTAATGCCATGATTCATGGTTCTGATCTTCCCTCCTGTCCTATATTTTTTAAGACCGATGTCCTCAAGATGTATTGATGTACTGTCTGCCTAGAGAGATGTACTCTTCCCAGGTAGGGAGATTTATATGTACCATAATACTAGTAAGCACTGAGGTAGCTTAATAAAGAAGAATCAGATGTTTGGTGGTTCCCAAAACAGAAGGACAAGAATGTCTGAGATTAAGCCAATTGGGTGCCTTGCCTTTGGTGAAGGCATTGGTAACTGTCTTGAAGGCAATGAATGGATGAATGAATGAATGAATGAATGAATGAAATGAAACGAAATGAATGAATTGAAATAAAGACCAAGTTTTCTGAAGAGAGGATCACTCATATTCATTGGCAATTAAATGATATATGGACAGGATCTAATATGAATCATGGGGCAATGTCTTCTACTGTCTCATAGAACTCATTTAAGTGTGTGGAGACTGAGAAGTGGATAGGGTCATCTGCAGCATGAATCAACATGTCTTTAGACCCACATCCTCCTGGCTTTTCAGGCATCTGGAAACGCATGCATGCTTGAACTCAAGAGATAATTGATGCTTTTTTTTTTGCAGGGTGGGGGGGAATATGATGTCAACAGCCTTGAAAAAAGTTTGTTCTCAAAGAAGCCATATCTCAATATATGTGGTTTCCAAAAAAATCCCTTTGGTGAATGTTGCTGAAAAAGTTGCAGTGCCTTAATTATAGAAGAATCCAAATGAAAATGATTCATTTAGGCTTCTGCCAGGTTTTAGATGAGGACAGAAACAGTATTGATTACACTCGTGGATACCAGCTGGGCGACTTTGGACAATCACACTCTCTCAGCCCAATCCACCTCACAGGATTGTTGTTGTGGGGAAAGCATTAGGAGGAAAGAATATTAGGTATGTTTGTTGCCTTGACTTGTTGATAAAACAATAACAAAGGCAGGATAAAAACCAAACCAAATCAACAAAGTATACCAGGATCTCAATGATGTGAATATGACCCGTTTTGTCCTATTAGATCTCTCAGTGGTTTCTGTAATCATTGACCATGGTGTTGGAGATGCTAGCTTGTGATGGTTCCATTTGAAGGGGAAAGCAACTGAACTAGGGAGTGCTCTAATGTAGATACTACAGGTTTGGTATGCTTCCTACTACATTTTAATATCCACATGGAACTGTAGGGGAAGCTCTTCCACCAGCTCTGGTTGAGGAATTATTGATTTGCTGATAATCCTCATTCGTGCATCATCTCCTCTAGTAATTGTGACAGCTTAACTCTGTCTAGAATTGCAAGGATCTGGATAGGGAGAAATAAGCTCAGAACGAATCTCAAAAGATGTTGTATCTATTGATCCAGAGGCACCCCAGTTCACAACAATTAGCTCTGGATGAGATCATCCTTGAAGCAGGGAGGGAGGGGCTGCTGTGGCTATTCACACCCTGTGTGAATAAGGTTCAAGAGGGGTAAGACACATGGGCCCCAAAGTAATCCTCTCTGCGGTTAGCCTCACACTCTTGAACTCCTTGCTCTGGAGACTGGCTTGCTTTATTGACCATCCACAAATTGGCAAACATAGTTCACAGATTGGGTGAACTTTTTTTTTAAAGTATTGTTTCATTGTCAGATGTAATGCATACTTATACTGTGTGCTGCCAGGACTTTAACTGAGCAGGTCACTATAAAAATACAGTCAGACAACATTATAGATATTCTGTGTCATCAACAGATAAATGCTTTAGGTATTTAGGCCAGTCAGGGAAGAAGGAGATTCCACTCTTCTCTGTCTAATCTAAAAATGACTTGCTAAAGGTGGACAGAATATCTCAACACTTTTTACACCAGAGAAGGAAGACACAGATCTTCTCTTGCATGTTCAGTAGAAGAAGGGCCAAGCATCACTCTCCCCTTTGGAAGTATGTTCAGTCACTGGATTAATACTCCTTGGCACTTAAAAGTGGCTAGATGAGTAATCAAAACATCACTATTCCTTACTATTAATATTAACTAAGTATTCAAAAATATTAATATGTGTTATTTACTATATTTATTGTTATTTACAGTTATTATTGGGATAATTTTATTGTTGGATTTTACTTGCTTGGTTGTTTTATGATTTTAATAAAAGCTGGACTACCTGTTAACCGTGGCACGACAAAACCACGCTCGACTAAAGCGCGCCCGATTAAACCGCGTCGCTGACGTCATCAACAGGGCGACAACAGCGCGGAGACAGAAGCACGCTGTAAACGCTAAAC